GGAAGAGTTCAAATGTGTCTTCAGGGGTGAATGAGTTAAATTGGTCTTCTCAAGAGTTCAGGTCGTGTAAAGTTTGCTAAAGGGCTGTATGTTGGAGTCAGTACTGTTTCTCAGGAGAGTTAAAGGCTGCTCAAAGGCATTGCTGTTAAGTTAAATAAATGAAGGAAAATACTCCAGCATAAGCAAAACACAGATTAATCGGTGTATTTGAAAGTTTGCTAAGTACAAAAACATTATTCACTTGAATTTAACACATTGACATGATTTAATCATAAAAAATTACATAAAAATATTATTCTTAATTTTAGCAGCAACTTAAATGAGTATAAATGAAATGCTGATGTTTTGGCAAAATTATTGGCTAACAATGATGAAAAGTTTTATATATTATGCTCTGGACTTTAGGTGATAATAGAAGATTCGGACCTGGTGGGATTCTGTCACTCCCAAAATGACCCCCACATTTCAACATTTGACAATGTGTAAGTATGCCGTCGGCTCACAGACCAATTAAATCAGAGAGAAACATTAAAAAATCTTGATAATTGTCAATTGATTTGTTATATCCCCCAAATGAAGTGAAGGGGGTATGTGGGAATCAGCTTGTCCGTCCATTTGTCAATCAACAGCTTATGAGATAAAAGCTTGTCTGGACAACATCGCCGTTAACTACTAGCAAGATTTTAGAAAACTTCAATATGCATGATCGGTACCGCATGTAGCTGTGTAATTGTTATTTAGTTTTTGCCCTTTTTTATACTTGGTAATTTAACGTCCCGTCGGGACAGATTCTCCAAAACTGCCTGACCAAATACAATGAGACTTTCTGGGAGCGATACATAGGTTTAGATAGAGAGTTCTAGTTTCCTTTATTAGAACTACAATGTATAACCAGCAGGTCTTTGATACTTCATCATAATCGTAAAGAATGGCTCACGGGAAAGAGAAAAGACATGGACATAATTTATACTTCATAAACGGCCTCTCAATGGGGTCGACCAAGTTTCCAAAAGTCTGTTGTGACAATACAATATAACTGATGATTAGAATTCTCGCATATGTCAAAAAGTGTATCTAATATCGCATATTCAACCATTCCTTTACAGATTGTATGACACTCACTTGCAGGGAGAATTTATCATGTACCGGAATTTAGAATACCACATAGAGGTAAGAGTTGAACAATTTTCATTAGAAATAGAACCATTTATTTTGTTTTTGTTGTTGTTGTTTTTTTCAAAAAACAAGATACACAATTTTTTGGGGTAATTACTGGAAAAGCTAACGAGGTATCAAATAAGTTTTGTCACAACTAATATGGAAGTTCAGTTTTCTTGTTTACATACTGGGTAGCCATTAGGAACTCTGAAATATATAATATAATTAAGTGTTTAATCATTGACTATCATAGGTACGAGTGCTATTTGTGAGGTGTGGAGAAGGCACTTGCAATTGTGGAGTTTTGGTTAGATCAGGAGATGACGTCATAAAAGTTCACAAATGTTTACCGGGAACTCTCTCAGCTTATCCAATCAGTCGGAGACTCTTTATCAACTCTCAGCTGACATTCAATTCCAATATCTACCAGGCAGAGGACGGCAATAAGTATGAGGTAATTGTCTCCCCTTTTGGCAAGTTATTGCCAATATTGGCAAATAAGTATTTACCTGTCGTCGTCAAGGAAATTGTTTCCCTTTCTCAGATAAATTAGTATTTGTCTCCCCTCGCTAAGGGAATTGTTTCTCTTTATCAGATAAATCGGTTTTTGTCCCCCCTTGCTAAGGAAATTGTTTCTCTTAATCAGAAAAATCAGTTTTTGTCTGTCCTCGTCAAGGATTTTTTTTCCATATCTCACCTTATCAGCTCCAATCAGTTAGTAACTGACAGGTTATACGCTATCGTCAAATCCCTAATAACGATACTGTCTGCCCTACTGACATATTTGTCTCCCCTTATCAGGTTCAAATCTTTATTAAGTTATGATCTGAAGCAGAATCACTTTTATATTTTTGTCTGTATTATCTCCCCTGGTCATATTATGTGCTTATTTAATGTCTTTTATTATCTCCCCTGGTCATATTATTTGCTTATTTAGTGTCTTTTATTATCTCTCCTGGTCATATCATGTGCTTATTTAGTGTCTTTATATCATGTAATTATTTCCCTTTGTTAGGCTTTTTGACAACCTTCATTTTATCTATAAATGATAAAAATAGAAATTGTAAGTTGAACTATATATAAAAAGGCAACAATCTGACCTGTTGTAAGATTTTGTTCTACAACAATTAGAGACTTTGAAATTAGTTTAGACAATCATTGGAAACATCTTGAACTGAAATTTAATCACCTAGCTTGCTACCAATTTAAAGTGATTTTTGATGAGCCAGTAATTGCCTGCATCAATCATCTCCTAGTATCCTATTAAATCCCATTTGTCTCTGTAGATCTATCTACCAACCGGTGCCAAGGTGATCTTGAAGAATGACCAAGGAAAATACATGAATGTATATATCGAGGCTTCAGTTTTGGACTTGAACAAGACGGATGGTATGGTGTTACACTACAGATAAAGTGTTTGTTAATGTATACAAAAATGGAATGGCTGCAGACTGTGTTTGATAGATTTGCATTTTAAAGACTTGAAATACTCAGCCAGGCTGCAGAGAAGGCTGGAATACATATACTCCTTATTGAAACTGACCTTGAATTGTTTGAGCAGATATAACATCAGATCAAAATTGAATTATAATTTTTCATTTGCATATAAACTTAAAAACATTTAACGCTATATCAGACCCCGACAAGTAGTGATTTTACTAAGAGCTTCTCCCGAGATCAAGTCCTTGTTCAGCAGTTGAACACCTCTACTTGGTGCTGACTCCTCAAGTCCACCATTCAAATGCCAACATAACTGTGTTCAAATGCTTCTGAATGCTCTAGGTTGCTGGAACAACCAGGGTTGAACCAGGAACTTTAGGTGCAGATGTTCTGAAGGCCTGTTTTACGTAAGCATCACTGTGTTACAGGTCTGTGTGGAAAATATGACGGGCTCAAGGCGGACGATCTTGTAGGAGCCGATGGTACGATTTACAGTGTAACTGATGCAGCAGACCAGCCTAACGACTTCAGTCGATCCTGGAGGTAAGGTTTAGTGACCTTAAGATGGAAATCTTATCACCCGGCAGCATTCATCATGTTCTGAGTACTTTCTGTGTTTCATAAAATGGCAACGCCAACATTTTACCACTTTGATAAATTTTCACAACTAATTTTCACAACTTAAATATTTGTATGGGGTCTGCATACTTGGGGGAGATTCCACTTGATTAGGATTAAAAGCATAGACAAAGTGTGTGTATGTACACCCTAGGGGAAATGGGCACTTATAAAAGACATCTTTTGAGTTGTTCTTTCAGATGAAATAATTATAATTAGATCATAGAGAAGAGGAATAGTTTAGCAAAATCTCTGGTTGAAAATGCTCAATTTCAGGGTCCAAAATAGGGGGAGTTGGCAAGAATAAGTCTGAGACAGGGCTTCTTTTATACTCAATGCCCAAGTGCCACTTGCCTCCATAACTCTGTTACTTCATCCTATTTCAAACTAAATGCAAATACTAACTCAGAAATTGTTTAGGGAATAAATTAAATTTTGCTGTTTATACCTTGCCATCTTATCCCAATTTGTTGTCATGATATTACCGACTTCATTTCTTAACAGATTTTTACCAAAGTTGTAAGATTTTCATCGTAATTTGTATAAAGATCAAGTATAAAATACATTCGACATATTTTAAATTTCCAAATTCAACACCATTGCTCACTCTTGCTATTTATAGGTCAGCCCTAGGGCAAAGGGGGGCATCTTACTTATGTAGGTGTCACCATTTCTAACTGCTGAACTGGCAGATGACTTAAAAATAAGCAACATTTCATAAGCGGGCATGGCAAAACAATGACTATTTCTATGAAACATTATCAATTGCCTCTTTGTCTTCGTTCAAAATGCTCATTAAAGAGTATTTTGAAGTTTCATTTTTTTGTATCAGTGTATTACTATAACAAAACACTTGTACAATAAATTCCATCATCAAAATTTGTCAGTCTGGTTCTCGAGCTTATTCAGATATTAACCTGGCCCAGTGCATGCTGTTGCAGTGTCCATGCCAATTTGACTTCAAGCTCTTCCAGGATTAATACAGCACAATAAGTAAAAACAACTCCTATTCTGGTTATCATGCTTTATTGTGTGGCCCGCAACGTGCGGCGACATATAGGTATGACTTTGGCGGCGGTGGCGGCGGCGGCAACAGCCGCGGCTGTGTCGTCCGAAAGAAGGTGTACGTGCGATAACTTAAGTGCCCTTAGGTTGCATACTAATATAGCTCGGAGGAGTTTGCATTTCAGAAGTTAACATGCATTTTTGATGGAGTTATGCCCCTTCTATTTACAAATAAGGGCATTATGAAGTAAATGCATGAACTTTTTTTTTTTAATCAATTCCTTTCAAATTTTGTACGGTAATTCTAGAAGCAACAATGTTCAACATATATTACGGGTTTTTCTGTCGAGTTTCAACTTT